CAACTCCACAGTGCATGTTGAGAGGGTAAGGATCAGCCTGGAACCCTTTGACTGTGCATAAGGTGTAGGGCCGTCTAGGAGGTTCATTAGATTGAAGCACCTGAAGGACTCCAATACTCGTAGGAGCTAGGTCAAGGTCATAGAGGCCTGGGTTGGGTCAGTAGTTCTTCTCCAACTTGTTCACATACTGTGCAAGGAACAGGAATGTGGCTGGAGGTCGGGTTGGTATTACTGTTGTTCAGGTCAGCGGTAAGGTTTAATCATTCAAAATCATACATACTCTAGGACAGTCGCAAAGGCTTTAGAATATATGTTATTTATATTGCTAGAAGGCTTATTGGTCTACAATTTTTATTTTTTCACATTTCATTTTTTACGAATAAAGTTAATGCTAGCAGTCCTAAGATTAGAATATAGTTTTTCTTTTTTCCAGCACTACCTCAAAACCCTTTGCAATTGGTTATCCAATTAGGGGCCATAAAAACTTAATCGCAGCACATGTAAACCCATCCAATCCAGCTAGGTTTCGTCCAAAGCTTTTGTTAATTCATGATATGAAATTGGGATATTATCTCTAGCTGAGCCAAGATTTAATATTTTTTTGCTTGAACATTTTTACTAGTCTTAGTTGTTCCTGATATAGATGTCATATAGATTGCAGACTGTTATACCGACCTCTTATGTCTTTAAGGTATTATTAATGATTTTTTTAACAGTACGTTGGTGTGAAAAGTTATTTTTTAAATTGCGAATTAAATATTTTGTTACTTTACCTTTCTATGTATTTTATAATTATATCTTTTGTGATTTACATCTTTTGTTACTTATATTAATTGTTATTTACCTTTTATTGTATATTTGATATTTTGTTCTGATCCACAAAATTTAAAAGTAAAGTTAAAATGGATTGAAGAGAAAAAGGTGAACACCAATAAAATGTTTCCCAACTCTTCAACCTTTTAAAAATAGATGTCCTTGTTTACAAATTTAGTCAATTAATCAATCCCTTTTAGAAATTTAAATTTTAATTTTGAAAACTTGTCTACATTTCTAGGAAATAATAATAATTTTTGATCTTTTTTGAAAAATAGTTTTACTTTTTTAACATGGTATTATTTTTTAACCTTTTTTCCTTTGGTTTTTGAAACAGGGCATTTGTTCTATAGAAATTTTCAGAACTAAGTCCAATAAATTTCTCATGAATAATTGAATAATACATTTTGTAGATCTATTCCTAGAATTAATTCATTCATAGTATTCATAGTTGGAACGTTATCATGTTTAAAATTGTGGTATACAAATAAAAAAATTGGAAGAAATCACAAAAGAATACTTTAAACCAATGCGGTTCTCTTATGTCAGGAAACTTTATAACAGAATGAGAAGGTCAAATTTCTGCAACATTACTGGAGTTACTTTGAGTCTTCCTGGCACTTCTTTTTTGGTCTTACACATTTAAAGTAAGAGAAAAACTAACTTTTGCATGAAACAATTATGTCAGAAGCGTTTTTTTGCAAATAAATATATTTTAATTTGTCCCTTTTTATGGCGAGTGAACTTGAAGTTGATTACTGAAAATATCTCATATTAAAGAATTAAAATGATATATATATTTATGTAAATTGTTTTTAAAGTTTAAAAATATGCAATGTTTGGATGCTTTTCCATCACTTTGAATTATACTAATTTTTTATACTAACTCTTTGTAAATAACTTTCTCTGCCATCACATCTATGTTGGATAGGTTGGTTTTTTGATTGTAAATGTTGTTAAAGCACTGAAACAAAATTAACTAAATTTTTTACAGTACTAATCAGAAACCCTTCAGCCAAATAGACCATGAAAAAAATCGCCCCCTCAAAATTTTGGCTGATTTTCAAATCCCTTTTCCAAGTACTGCACCTAATAACAACAATGACCAGTGAAGTTGATTAAGCTAAATAAACACGTCAGAATCAAGTGTACATTTTCCTCCAAATGTCCTGACTGGATCAGAAAAACCTGGAATTAATTGCAATTAATCAGACGACTTCTTTATTGTCTTTGATCTTTGAAACTGTAAACGGCATTTATTTGTCAATCTAATTTTGCAGATTTGATTGATGAAACAATAATTGTAAAATATCCCTTGTGATAATTGTCTCATGTATTAATCTTATTTGTATATTTGTAAAATTAGATTGAGAAATTCAAAGATCAAAGACGCTGAAAAAGTCGTCTGATTACTGTCAATTAATTCTGGGTCTTACTGATTAAGATTATAAATCCTACTTTTGCCATTATTTTTCCCATAAATTTTGTTACCCCATTTCTTTCCCAGATTTTGGAATAGTTATATAGAATAAGCAAGGTAGTGTCTACAAATACAGGAAAACAACAAAAGAAAATTTTAATGACCATCCGGTTTTAAAATGTTAAAAATGTTTATATAATGTATATCACCTTGTTGAAATAACACCATCGAGCATGCTGATTCAAAGTGTGTAAGATCTAAATACGTTCAGAATTAGAGCTTAGCAACTTGGCATTAACTAAAAAATATCGAAATAGTAAACTTTTTATTTGAATCCCATCAAATAATTCAACAAACAGAAAAAGTTTTATAATAAAATTATTTAAACAGCGCTGTATCAAACAGTTTAGCAATTCAGAATTAAGCAATTTTCGTGAAAAAATCTGATTTTAGTAAACTTTTAAACAAGGCATTGTTTTAAATAGTTATGGAAGCAGTTGGTGTTTACCAACAAAGCAACTGCAAAATCAACAACAATAAATGGAAGTCAAACATTAAAGATGACAAACATGATTTTAAACATGTGTCATGTAAAATATACCTCAAAATTTCTTCTAGCAAGTACAGCCAAATAATCCTGCATCATTGATTGGAATGTTCATTATTTAGAACAAAGAATTAGGTTCTTTGCTACAAACTTTTCTAACTTTTCAAACTTTTCTAATCCCTACATCTCAGTTGACCTAGCACCACGGCAGTGCAAACATCTCCGTTGTTATATCGGAGGTTTTTTTACAGTGTCTTTAGTGTAAAGGTATGAGATAATCGTTTAAATTCAAGCGTGATATCTTCAACTCAGGCTCTCAAGTTCGATTTGAAATCGTGATTTAGAAAACAATAAGTCTAAAGGCTCAAAAAGACAAAATAAACCCAAAGTTTCTAGCGGAGAAAGAAGTGACGTCACAGCTCAAGCCTGTGCGCTCACAAATTCCCTCCACTCCGCCAACGGAGAACCAAAACTTAAACTATAGAACAAACTAATAGCTCACAAATTACGAAAACAATCAAAAACGAAGTGATACTTTTAAATACAAAAATGTCGTCTGATAAATGCCAAGAGTTATTTGCAACAGTGCAATCTACTCTATCTCAATTAACGATCGCATGCAAGACTAGTTTCATGGAAATCGGAACTGAGATTAAAGAAGCCAATAACAAAATTGGAAACCTGGAAACAATGGTAAAGAATCTAACTGTTCTTGTCAAAGACCAACAGGATAAGATATCAAAAAAGGAAGGACAAGATCTAAACCAAGAATACATCGGACAAGTAATCTTTAAAAGAATTCCTTTTAGAATGAAATCTCTAGCTGAGGAGAAACTCAAATGTTCAGAAGTACAAAGATTCCAATGGTTACAGACAACCAGTAATGGAGACTTCTTAACCCTGTGGATCTCACACAACTCTAACACAATGATGACAAATGCTATCAGATTGAAACTCAACTGGGAAAGAGAACTTCCCCCCAACTCTCCAGAAAGAAAACTTGTTTCCTTGATAATAGTTGAACAAGTTGCACCAAGATCCTACAGGCCACTCTTGGCTAAGCTCAAAAACGAGCTGGTCAATATGAGGGAGAACGGTACCTTTGTACCTACCTTTGTACAAACTGTAAAGTATGAAGCTAACTCTGGAACTTTAGCATATGTATATCAGCAGAAGCCTATGAAATCAGTAAGAGCAACAGTCCTTGGTTACGTAGCCAATCGTCCTTTGGAAGGACGAGAGTTCAAGAACGTTCCCTGGTATGATACCAGGACAGGACAACTACAGGGAAGATTTAATGAGAGACCGGGCGCTTCAGCTGCAAATGGTGCTATAAGAAAAACTGCGCAAAGTAGACCAGACAACAAGCATCCTCAGTTTGCATCAGGTTCAAACAAACAGCCAATTATAGAGAGGGGAGGGGGGAACTCTCAGCATACCTATCCAGACGATCCAGGCGATCCAGCCTCAATTTCTGAAGAAGAGATGGATCAGGATCAGAGCATTAATGCAAAACGTAAGAGATCTCCAAACCCAGAAACCCCAACTAAACCTAATAAACCAGCCAAAACAGCCTCTTCACTGGCAATAGAAAACAGAAAACCAACTCCCATCAAGCCGTTTTCAGCAGAGATATCTAGCCTGGAAATCGACCAAACCAGTAGTGAATATGGCCTAATAGATGGAATATTGAAACTTCACGCTAGCACAGAGGATGTGAACCTCGATAGAGCAGAGAATGAGGATGATGGGATAGCAGCTCCTCAAGAGCCCCAAGATGTTGAGACAGAGCCGCTAAATAAGGACAACACCACCTTATCCATGAAAGCAGCTTCTGCCCTCTACAATAAAGTCACCGCTGCAAAAGATAAGTTCAAACGTTGAATTCATATTGAAGGAAGTAAAAACTTTTTGTGAAAATGTTTCAAAAATATTGAGGAAATAGTTTTGATAAAATGTGTGCAACTATATCTGTAATGTTCCGATTGTCTAAAATTGAAACTAAATGTCTAATATTAAAACTAGATGTCTAAAATTAAAACTAGATGTCTAAAATTAAAACTAGATTTAAAATAAAAAAAAAAATTCTGGCCTTTCACCTACAAACCTTGACTCTAACACCTTATTGCTGAGATTCACAACAAAGAGGAATATCGAATTAAATTAATCCATAGATCTGAATGGATCGAGATTAATGTTTAATCCAGAAATTCCAAAAAACAGTTCTGACTTCTGCTCTACTATATTTACGATGTGATCACTGAGCATGTTTAAAATATTTTATTTCAGATTGAAAGCTGTGGCAGAGACAACAAAGTTTTTCCGGTTTGATGATGTCTGGGTAACAGGGTACTTAGGTACATCTTTTAAAATACTATTACAATTATTACAGAATTGATTAATTGATTTGAGAGACTGTCGAAGTGATATTATTTGATTTCCAGTTTAGAAGTTTAACTTGCATGCCTGATTCACTATGATAACTTTTAATCCTTTATTTGAGCGTAAGTTATTGTTACAGAGAAACCATAATTAAAAGTTATCAAGTTTCAGATTGAAAACAAAAGATATCCGCATCATCCTTCAATTGTTTTAAATCATATTTTGAAGAAAAAAATCATCAATTTAAGAAATGATGGCCTATTATATGAGGATTACAGTTTAGATCTAAAACAAAACTTAATTACATCAGTTAGCTTTAATTTTTGGACCTTCTTATGTTTCCAGCTTTGTACTCCATTTGTGCTTGGCACTTTAAATAAACAAATATAATTTTTACTTCAGCGAAAGAGTTAAAAATCAAGCATTTGGATATGACACAATTTTTAACTATAAAAAAGAAAACTGGACTATTGTTTAAATCTGTTCAAAATCCAGAAATCTATCACAAGGAATAGTAATGTATTAAAATTTATTAATGAAAAAAATTTTGATCAAAACATTTCAATAAATTTTAAAGCACTTTTTTTCTTTTTGTGTTTCTTGGTCTAACATACCATCCCTGATTTTTATCTAATACTCAATTTCTAAATAATCTTGATTTAATTATTCGTTAAGTTTTAAACCAGAATATAATATTTTTAAATCGTCCCCAGGGACTTATTATTTGGAACTCCTATGTCTGTTCAGCGAGTTCAGATCAAGGTTTCCAGGTGCACTGATTTATTTTAGATTTGCCGAGTTTCTTCCCAAGCTACGTCAATTTCGTGGTTTTTTTTCAAACAATTTTCTAATTTAAAATACAAGGTTTCAGATTAATATTAAAATTTATTTTAAAACATGAAATAGAGGGTATGTGATCGCTAAGTGACATAATATTTCCAATGTACGGCCTAATTAGAAAGATAAGATATTATTTATTGTTTGGGTGATATTTGACATGGTATAAAATGTCTTTCTTGGCTACGTCAAATATGAATTAAAAACTTGTCCTATAAAAACACAAATAATATCCTGCATTTTCTAAATATGCCATACATTGATAGTTCAGATCTTTTTCCAGTAATAGACACAAAACTAAATGCTGCAGGATTTCTTGGCCATATTAACAGGAAGAAATTTTGAGGTAAACTGTGTTGTTAATCGTTTTGGATAGTTTCTAAAGAAAATTTAATAAAACTTCCAAAATTTCAAAACTGTATTCTGTTAAATTTTGTTTAAATTTTCAATAGCTTTATTCTGAAAAAAATGGAAAAACTATCCAAAAACTCTCAGTATTAACATGTTCGTGTTTGTTGTTGGCTCGTTTTTGGTAGTTTTTTGGTAGTTTTTTGGTAGTTTTTTGGAAGTTTTCAACTTTTTTCTTCTGAATTTAAACTTTATGGCAAAAATACGACTGAAGATGTTTGAAATAATTAAACAAAATCTTAATTTTTTTAGATAATTTTTTATTTCTTACAATATCCTACCAATGATGTTATGCTCATCACAATTTCATAAGATATAACTTATTATATACAAATATATATTACAAATTTATTTTGAATATTGTTTAAAATGTAAAAAAATAAGCTTAAATTGACTCTATTGTAATTTGCTAATAAATTCTAAATATATTTAGATGTTTTACACCCTACATCAGCATTCTCGTTGGTGTTATTTCAACAAGGTGAACAATTCTAACACTGAATCTGATAGAATATGAACAATGTACTAAACACGCACCTCTGACCCTTCAGTAAAAGTAAATTCAACCTAAAGTCTGACCGCGTCAAGTTTGCTGCATCGGCTAGTTCTATTGAGTGTCAGGCTTCATTTACCCACTGACCGGTCGATACTGTACAAATTGGGACCAGAAAAGTTGACCCGGCTCGGAAATTCAAATGTACTACTGCTGCCCGTGTAAAAAGCCCAAATAATTTCTTCAACAAAAGTGTCTCTTTGTTTATTCATTTTATTCACAAGTTGTCTGTTTATGACATTTTTTATATTTACAAAAAAATTCACGATTATCACAAAAACGATCATTTACAACAAGAATGTAATTTAACCCTATTCCTGCTGGGGGGGGGGGTCAATTTGACCCCTCCCTGTAGTTTTTTTTTCATAACTCAAAAAGTATTGGTCTGAGACTTTTGAAATTTTCTGACTTTTCTTACATACCCAAAGCCCTCCCTTTAGGCCTAAAACCGGGCTTTAATACTAACTGCCTGAGTCCTCAGGCACACTGCCTGAATGACTGTTTTTGCCTGTAACAAACTAAATCTTTGTTTTGACCCACTTTCACTTGTCAGATTTTGGTAAAATTTTTGGAAAGCCTATAACATAAGGAAACGGAATGCACAAGTTTTGCGAAAAAAAAATTGCAAATTTTTGGCAAACAACCTGTCAAAGGAAATTTGCTCATTTTTAGTTTTCCTTGATTAAAAATCAGGTTATTTAAAATTTTGCAAACATTTTTGCATATTTGAAATGGCATGGTCAAGGGCTTTTCAAAAATGTATAATTTTTCATTTTTTGGACAAATTTTTTTTTGCAAACATTTTTACTATACAACTGGATTTTGCGATAAAAAATTCAATTTTTGCAAATTTGCAATTATTTTTGCAGATTCTAAAAGTAGAGCACAAGAGCTTTCTAATGACCCCCCCCCCAGCATGTCCTGGTTTTCAAGTACCCCAGCAGGGATAGGGTTAAAAATGAATGGGATCTAAAACTGAACACAATAAAAAAGAAGCGAATCAATTTTTTCAAAATTATTTTTCTGTTTAAGTGCTTCAGCAACATCTACCATCCACAAGTCAACTTATCAACTATAGATGTTATTCCTGAGAGGGTTATGCTGAAAGAGCTGAGCTGAATTGAATATCTTCAAAATTTCCATAACTCTGATGATAACTTTGAGAAAAGTGTATTTTGAAACAATTTAACCTAGTAGAAAACTGTAAATGCATGTATTGCTTTATGTAAACATAAAACTAAAAAACTTTTTTCTGCAGAAGAGTTTTATTGATAAATTCATAACTATGAAACGTGTTACAAATTACAATATAAATATGACAACATATATGTGTCCCTATCAGATCAAGGGAAAATGTAGAAAATTTGTCTTACTGAGCTGAAAACTTTAGAATGGTGGATATTGAGATCAATGCTTGATCGCCTGGTTTTACCAAACCCAAGATTAGGTCAATATGCATTTAATATCCAAGAAAGAAGTTTGAAATTCAACCAACCAGTGTGTCATGTTAAAATGTGCTCTTTAACTTTTGAAAACCTGGTTTTTATTTTTTGCGCATTTCTGGTGTTGATGGTGTCATATCGATTTAACTAAAGATCGATTGAATGAACGTAAATTTTGTTTGGATTAATGTTTAAGACCATCGTTCAAACTGACTTTAGTCCTCAAATGTGATAAAATATGTTTTTTAATAAGTTCATAATAACATGAGTCATGATTAAGATTGTATTCTTTAAAGTGCTCTAAAATCCCACTTGTTAACAGTAGACTATAGTTCAATCTGATATTAGTCCAATGATATAGCAGCATATCTGTAATTGTTATCAAACGTAACTTTTACGCAGTAGGGATATCCAAAAAGAGAGGACTAAGAAGAGTAAGTAATGGATGGTTAGAGGGAAAGGTAAATACTATGAAAAATGTTTCCCACTTCAACCTTTTAAAAATAGGTGTCTTTGAATTTTGAATACAAGAATTATTGACTAGTAGATTTTTAAAACTTTAAATCTTTTTTTGTTGTTAAAAAATTGTATTATATATTACTTATCTCTCTGAGACTGAGTTGTGATCATCTCGGGTGTTTTCGGCTGACTGCTGAGGTGAGGCGGGAGCTGGGATGAGCGGGGATTTGACATGTGTGGTGTGCTTCATTGCGGAAATGGATCCTATGTACACACACATCTAGAGAATTAACAGAGGCATTTGAGTCGGTACAATCGTCTTCCTTATATTTCGAATTTATGTTAACAATATTCTATTCTCTATGCTTGTAATTCTAAAAAAGTTTGTTAACAATTCAAACGTAAATTAAAAAGTCATTCTTTATTATATTGATATTATAGCCTACCACTTTAAACAAGCAATGTAAAATTAAAGATTACTTCATAGTAATTTGATAAATATTTGTGACTGAATTGTAGCGATGAAATAAATAAGACCAAATGAATAAGACCAAATAAACTGACTGAATATATATTTATCAAATACAGTATTATATACCAGATGCAGTATATCATAATCTAAACAATAACATATGAAGTATGGAATAAGCTGTGTACTGCATTCCAGGAATCCAGGGGCGCCACAGAATATCAATTGATCGGTTATTTAGCTCGTTTATATAGGCACTATGCATGCACTCGAGTTAAATTAGCTCAAAATTGAAGTAAAAAATCCACACATAATCAATATTTCTGTTTCTTTTGTAGACTCGTCTTCCTGATGGGAATGGTGCCTGATGCTAACCAACAAAACTCTGTAATGGTTGAAGCCATGCAGTACAAAGATATTGTACAAGGAAGGAACTACTCATAGTACTGGTTGAATAAGACGGTTCAAATTAAGTATCAACTCCATCAACACAATCATGAATAAACTCAAATATTTTACCTTTATAAATAACATCGTTCCTGAACTTTTCAAAGCAAGGGTCCGGAACAATATTAGAAACATCCCGGGTTTAAGGAAGTCCTGGAAAAAATAGCTTGTTTTTAAGATAAAGTACACAAACGACCCCAATTTTTCTAAAATTTTTCAGGCCTTTTGTACTCAGTACACTGAACCTTAATTTTCGATAAAAAAACAGTAATAGTTTAAGCTTCACATTGAGGTGAAATTTTTTGATTTTTCAACCCTTTTGTGCATGAAGAGAGAAGATCAGAAATAAGATGGTTGTGCATTTATTATAATTATTGATTATAACATTTATTATGATCAATCATTTTTCTTATTTTTTATTTAAATCTCAGCCATAAAAAGTTATTGTGAAAGGCATTCGAATTGATGTTTACAATGACAATGTGTTGGCAATACCTTGAGAGCCCAGAATATAAGAACAACAGTTTCATCCTTTGCCGAGGACACAGTAACATTATTGTTAGAAGTCAAGGAAGCAAGGTTATTTTTAAAAAGTTTTTTTTTAAGAATTAAGTCTTTGCTACTATATCAAATGTTCTAATCCATATATCTTTGCAGCCTGATGATGCAAAATTTTGATATTTCAAACTTAGACTATATGATCTAAGTTCTAACAGAACTCATAGCTAAAAATATCTAAGGTGTACAAGATTGGGTTGCGAAGATATGGGGAATAGAAAATCTAAGTTTAGCAGATTAAAAATATGGTTTATTTAGTGGTATGTGAGCTATGATGAAATTTCTAAAGAAGAAGGAGGTGCATTCTTCTATATCTATATAAAAGTTTCAGTTTGATTGGGAATAAAGTATAGATATTTTACAGAGAAAGGTTATCCACCATTTTGTGATGGCTGGAATTATATTACGACTCCTGGCACTGCTGCAAGGTGGGATTCAATGGAAAGGGACTGTAAGCGCAATTACAAGACCTTTCATTCCTGATTTACAACGAAAACCTTCGACTGATCAATTATGTATCTGTAGAAACTCTTGTAATAGTTAATTACTTAGTTTGCTGTTTTATATTTAAAGAATATTAATATTTACCTTATAGAAGGGCCGGACAAAGATTATTCTAGATTTACCAGGAATAAATGTGACGTCATCCGCGTTGACTTCACACGAAATGTTTACTTACTTGCGTACACTCCTATCTTGCGGATTTTGGCACAGCATTATAAAGAGATATTTACACTGAGTTCTCTGTCCTTGATGATCAGTCAAAAGTTTGCAGGGTACCGTTGTAAATCCAGGAAGCTTCTCTTTAAAATTACGCTTACAGTCCCTTTAATAGAGATTCAATATGAAAAAAAAATTTCATATTTAAATCTTCATTTTTGAAAATCTTATTTGTAAACAAGACATTTAGCTTGATCATTACTTCCTAAAAGACTGTTTGTACATATTGCATTATTTTTTGATTCCAGTTCTTTGGCAATACTGCTCTCATTTTTCATTTTTGATTCAATCTTGTTTTTTGGCCCTACTGCTCTCATTTTTCATTTTTGACCTTATAATGTTTGAACTTTTTAATAGAAGGAATTTAATGGATTTTCATGTATTCGTGTAATAAATGCATTAACATGTTTGTCATCAAAAACAAAACAAAAAAATAATTTTTAACATTTTCTGACAACTATTTAAAATCTAAATTAACTTCTGTCTAAAGCACCCTCAAAATTAAAACTAAGTGTCTAAAATTAAAAAAGATGTCTAAAATTAAAACTAGTTGTGGAAGACGATGTTTCGACCTCCAAAATAGAGTTCCACAACAGATGAAGAACGCGGCATTCTCATCAGTCTCATGTGTTCAATTAGATTATGATATACAAAGTTGTTCTTATAAAGAAATATATATACTGGAATGAGTCTACCCAAGTTTCATTAGAGTCTGTCCTCCGACCTCTATATTGGTGACCCCAACGAAAAACAGTGATTTTTCCAGTACATGACTCCGTCAAGTGATATTTCTTTCCGAACTTTAATTCTACTACTCCGTGAAAATGAGACAGCTAAATCCGCCCTTGCCTCCGCCGTCTCACTAGTTCATCCTTCTCCCTCTGCCGAGGTGTCTCTGGTTACAGATGCCTCCGCCACGCACGTTGGAGCCGTTTTACAACAGCAAGAATCAAGAAATTGGCGTCCTCTGTCCTTCTTCTCTGCCACATACCCAACAAACAAAAACCCGTGAAGAACACAAGATTATTTGGTTTATTTCACACGAGTGACCCGTCATTATCCCGTGATAATTCACGTGTTGT